ACCCAGACTTGCACGTTCGTGTAATGTCTGCTGAGCGGATTATATTCACACAATGGGGGAAAAAAAAAGCTACTCTGAAAATATGGTGTGAAATGGTACTGCACGGCCTGGCAAGGGTCAAAGCCAGACCCATAATAACATTCCTGTTTGGTGCATTTCGGTATTTCATACCAGCTGGCAGCCACATGGGGCACAAAATACCATGCAAAAACACTCTCAACATTTCTACAATAAATTCAAACCATAAAGTAATCACAATCCATCACACCTGACCAAGAGAAAAATATTTGTATCTGCCTGATTTAAAAGGATTATCCGGCTATAACATGTTCATACAAGCCAAAATGGGTGGAGGCCATGAGACGAAAATCATCCTCCTGCTATGGGTTTGCCATGGGTTTACTTATAGGAGGGGAACATAGCTCACTTTCATTTTAGTATCCAAATCCACATGGATCCCCAGCTAGGTTTGCTGGACACAGTCCAGGGGGGGCATTTCAACATTTCAGACACAAATTTCCATCCACATTAGAAATATATAGATTGATAAAATGGTACGCCAAAACAAGATGGAGCATCTAAAATGGTAGCTGAAGGCTCTAAATCCTAGTATGTCATCATGTGGAGTTAATTTCTCTAATAAACATTGATTAAACCTGTCAATACGCCAATAACCCGAGACCCTCATAATAAACCTTGCATGATGCAAAAGAACAGTCTAGATACACAGCTGGAAATACAACACATGGACCAGTTTAACCTAGCTAAGGCCCTATACGTGTTTAACCAAATATAAACTGCTTTTGACTAAACCCTGACGGCTCCGGTCATATTGTATGGAGATTACTTGATCTGAAAAGCTATGGAAATGCAAAACTCCCGGCTTGGTACGGAGGCTTCACTAACAGCTTCTGGCTATTGTGGGCTCACTGTCCGATACAGATAACACTGTGGCTCAGGAATCCCTCTCCAGCCCCAGGAAGATCTGAGGAGGATCAGGCTTCTCCTTTTTTGCAGACCGGGCTGTGCGGTGCTGCTGAGCTACAGGGCAAAGCTCCAATCAGACCAGATGTAAAAACTATCCAGCTCACCAGGGAATTCCCTCACCTCCCTTCTGAGTCATCGTGCAGGCTTTCCCCATCTCTCTCCCTCTCCCTCTCTGTTTGTCTGTCTGTCTGTCTCTCTATTTTTCCCTGCCTCCAGCCCTCATTCCACCCATGGAAAGAAGGGCAAGCCAGAACACAGACTGCAATAGGTGCGCCAGGTATGTCTTCCTACCGCTGTGCCAGAGGAGCGGTTTTGGACAAACTGAAACAATTGACACAAAAAACACACACACACGCATAATAGAAATAACAGAAAATCTGAATCAGGCACAACAATCTGAAAAGAAAATGGAAACTTGCACAGACGCCAACACCGAGGCTCTGCAAAAAGTGCTACTCTTACCCAGCAGAGAAAAAAAAGAGACAAGGCCTATTTGAAAATAACTTGTCAATAAGGATAAAATTATGCTTTCGTTGCAGCAACAACACACAAAAAATGTCGGGTTAGGATTTCACGAGTCTGTCATTCTCTAACTGCAGCCTGACTTTCTTAATCCCCCTTCTACGTGTGGTCTTAAGCCACTGAAAAACATGTGCTGACACAATTAGAAATTGATGCTACACTTTGCATTTATCAATTTATTCGAAAAGGCCTCACAGGGTCCGTGCCAGTCGCCATTGGCTCCACGTCGCAGAGCACAACAGCGCACGCTTTTGGTGAAGGAGTCCTGCCTTGTTGCTAGCTTTTCCCTTCCTCCGCTCTTTGTCTACAATCTCGGGATCTCGTCTTTTCCGTTTCACCCCTCTGCGGGGAATCCTTTGCGGATGACTCACTGAAAACACTTCCTACTGAACAACACAAACAGGCCCGGAGGCTAGCAGCTACAGTGGCTACATACTGTGCACACACACTGGATGCACGGGGGTTTGCATCACGTATCCTGCGGGTGTCCGAGGGGAGCGGTGGGGATGAGCGTGGCCTTTAAAATATAGATGCAATTATTTTTCGGGGCACATTAAGGTTTCCTGCTGTGGCAAAAGCTAGCAACTCGGCTTATTTGATGCAAGGGATTTCCCACGGGGTGGGGGATTGGGTTGGCGTTGGGGGGGTAATTAAAACAAAACAAAAAGACATGGCAGAAGATATAAATAAACCAAGTTTAACTTTAAAGCAGCTTAAAAAAAAGGTATGTCACTTTATTTTCCCAAAAAGGTGTTCATTTGAATTGGAATTGTAATATACTTGCAAAACTTGAAACTTGCAAAATTCACCCCCCCCACTCTAAAAAAAAAAAAACCTTAAAAAAATGTAATGCATCTATTTTTTGATGGACCACCTTTGGAGATGAAAATTTGACGGGAGCATATTTTTATGTGAAGTCACAACATCTTTTTTTGCCATCTAGAATCAAGATAATATTTTTCTGATTTTATTCCGTGGGACCACTGTGCAAAGCCTTATCCAGAAGATCACAACGCTTCCCTAATGAGTCTGGGGTGGGGACTCGTGGTGATGACCAATCCATGTGTGAAAATAAAGTCACGCTCCCTGAAGTGTTCTTTCACGATTGGACCCAGACGAATTCTGGGATTGTTATACTGGAACGTGGTGTTGCCAACAGGGAGGAGGGTATCTATTCATAGAAAAGTCGGCTCATTTTCAAATGCTAGGGTGTCAGTTGACCTCATTTTTTTTTCGGTGCTAAATGCTAATAAAAAACATGGATCTGATTAGCTGAAGCAACCTCAGATCATAGTGCTGTCCCCACAGGATTACAGAGAACACACACTGTGCATGATGGATGCAGCTAATGCTCTTATTGTTGTGTTTTTAAACAGGGTGAGTCTAGGGTTAGGGTTAGGGTTAGGTCTAAACTCATCCAGACACATGGCATTTTTTTTATGCACCCTCACAATAGGAGCCTGTCCTTTTATCTATTTTCTTTTTCATTGGCTTTTGTCTGTGTTATCAGTGTTATCAGAATTATTATTATTTTTTTGTAATATTCCTTTATTCCATGCTGTGCTTTTCCGCCTGTTTTGTTGTATTCCACACCGTACGCTGGCACCATCATTAATTATGTGGACCCATAAAAATGATGCCTTCCCTCATACAATGACGTTACTATTTTAGCCATGAAATCTGCCGCAATTATCATTTGAGCTAAACTTTAAAATCCCCTTTCATGACAAAGCCAGTGGATCAATGATTCACTGAGGATCGGTGGATATTTTTGTCCGTTTGAGTTTTTATCACTTAACCACAAACTGCTGAAGTAACAGTCCCTCAAATATGTGGGGCATGCTTTAAACATCACTACATGCAGAAAATATATGTGCTGCAAATGGGGGATAGTTAAAGAAATTGATGCCATTACGCTTTATAGATGTCTCTTTTGTGCTAATGGGTTTTTTTTGTTGTTTTGTGTGTCTGTGTGTATTTGTGCGCGATCCCTCGGACTTAACTTGGATAATTTCAACTCGACGTATAATCATTCGCAGAAGTTGGATCGAGTCTCCCCAAATCCTGCCCGTTGCTCCTTAGGATTTGTGGAATTCTCTGGAAGGTGTTTATTGAGGACAATTATGGAAAGCGAGCCGCCGCTCTGACCTTTGATGGAGGCAGCAGTAATGGCTGTCACCACTGTGGCAAACGCAGCGACGGGTGTTTCGCCTTACAAAGAGCTTGGCCGCGTGTTTAAGCAGATGTCTGCGAGATGTAATTATTCGTGGTGCGATGCTCTGTCTTTCACGAGTGCATTTAGACATGAAACCTTTCCAGCGGAAAATAGAACCAGAGTTGCAGAGTGAATCTGTCGCACAATTAGAATTTTATACGTTTTATTTCTTTTTTTGCAGCCCTTTCAATCAACAAATAGAATAATCTCATGTCTGAGAAATGTCATGGATCTGAGGATTCTCTGATTAAAATGCCGAGAGGCAATCACGTACGGTCTGTTTGGTGCGTGAATACTTTTCCATAGTCATCCTCGCTCACGTACAGCTGCCATTAGTGAGTGATGTGCGTGCTCCTGTGTGTGTACATGTGTGTTTGGAGAGTGTGTGGGTATGTCTGTAATGGGCTTTTTAACTTAGGAGACCCTGGAAGTGGTGGGTCATTAAAGTTTGCATAAAAGCAGACTAAGTGGCCGGCGGACAACCCCTCTTTCAATCTTTCTTCTCTCCTTTTTTCGACACCAGAGTCAAGCAACAAACCGCTGAAACGTCAAGTGCGGAGACTTGGCTGGAGCTGGGCTAATGTTCTCAGCGGCTATTTTGAAACCGAGGTAAGAAAAATGAGATGTGAGATGAAGAAGGCCAAACAGAGCAAAAGGAGGAAAGGCGAGTGGGTGGAAGTAAGGAAATACGACCAGGAGGGGGGTCACGGGTCTGAAACAGAACCCGGTGTATGTATGGGCTTTCCTCTCCAGGGGAACCCTCCCCCCCAAAAAAAACAACAACACATGACTAAGGAAGGCCACAAGGAGGGAAACCTCTTATTACCAAGTTCAGCTACCTGGCCTCACATCACTGCCTGCTTCTTGAACCCCCAAAGTAGTTAAAAGTCTGATGATGTTAAAAAATGATTCTCAATGTAAATCCTTTCAATTAAAAAAAACTATGAAGAAAGACTGACTGTGAACCCCTCGAGTTGTCAAGATAATTCCAGTGCAATTTGGGAGAGTGGAAAAAGCTGATCTTCCTTTGACTTGCATCGAACGCGACGATTCGGTGAAGTCCACTGCCAAGTATAAAAGAGGAGGAAGATAAACCCATGATATAATCAGCCCAGAATGTCTTGTTTGTTTTTCGCCAAAAAAGAAGACAAAAACAACGGGGTCTATAATCATGACATAGCGATCTTCATTAAAGCCACAGGCCATGTTGATTTTTTTTTTTTTTTACTTAAGAGTTTAATTTAGGCGGACTGCTAATTACTGCCTTAAAATAGGATTAGATGCACTGATGAGCTATTGGCAGATGTTGCAGCATCTTATTCTCCAGCGGCAGCTGGCAAACTGCATCACAACAAACTAAAGAGGTGACACTGCGTAATATTTACTTTGACCCAGGAAATGATCACAACCAGCCATCAACCTACGAACACACACACACACACACACACGAAAGAACACCAACACAAACGAAGAGCACGGCACCGGGACGCGAGGGGCTGGCCGTCAAACGCGTGGGGAATGAAGGGGAGAGGGGACGGGCAACTGAAAGAGGGAAAGTGAGAGAAAAGAGCCGTCGCACATGCTCGGGTTGTGATCCATTTCTTCACTTGTGGCGAGAGCGTCAGTGAACAGGCAATGGAAAACTTCAGCAAATGTAAATACGCTTTGGTTAAAAATATAGTGGCCTAATGCACACCACATGTGGCTCTCTGGCAAGTTCTTCTCTGTTTTGATGGGAAGGAGGACTAAGAAAATGCAGCTTGGAAAGAAAAAAAAAAGGACAGAGACGTTCAAAGGAGATATTAGGAGGGGGAAATTAAAAAACGCGGCGACGAGGGTCTGATAAGGCTTACCCTGCGCTTTCTCCACGAACACCACCTTTGACTCGGGGAGGAAGTTCAGACCACTGAGGAGCATCATTTTGCCTCCGGTGGCGGGGAAGCTGTCCATGTTCTGCTTCTCCACCAAGGGAAGCTCTTGAGCAGAACGCTGGGCTGCAGACGGAAAAAAACACACGCAGCGTTCAGTGTGTGGAGCATCCTGTTCCTCATCTAACCTGGGAGAGGGACCCCCGCCAGCACGCCAGCCAGTTAAAAACTGCAGTTTTCCATTAGGGATACAGGCTTATCAAATTTATTATGGTGATTTCATGAATGCTAGCGAGGATGTTTTCGGCCAAGAGCTGCCTTTTAAATGACATCTAAAAAAAAATAAAAAAAAAGGCGCTCGAATGATCAAAACAATATTTCCGAGCTCAGATCGCTTTTCATTATTTTCCATCCAGCAGCCCGCGGCCAGTCACCTGTCTCTGCTTTCTATGAAGTGAGGCAAGCTCGTCACCCGTGGCCTCTGGAATGCAGTGACCAGATTCAAGGCCGGTGAAATATAATAAATATGTCTTATCACATGGTTGTGAATTTTATCTACATATGCGCATGAAGGAGAGCTCTCCAAAGAGCTAAAGAACATATACTTCTCGGTAATGATGAGCCAACTCTGATTAACTTCAACTTAGGACCATAAACTACAGTGCCAGCAAAGCCTCTCCATCCAGTTTTAATTGGTTTCCTTGGGTGCAAATAATATCACACCTACACACACAAATGAATGACAAAGGAACAGAGGTTTCTTTCAATGCGTTCATTCAGCCGTGCCAGAACCGGAGCTGGCAATTGACCTGTGCTAATGGGCTAGCCTTACCACAATAACTTGAGCATTCAATCATAAAAAGTGAAATTGAGAAAGATAACATGTGTGTTTGGCATCATGTACAATGCATCTATTGCTTTGGCTAATTCCTTTGATGGTGTAAAACCTACTGGGTGCAGAAGTGGTGCATTTATTCCAGCAGGTAGTAAAATAGTGGCTGGGTTTATTGAATTACAACAATAGATGCCACCTTTTGCTTCAAGGGAAAGCCAAAAGAAAGTGCCAGTTTTTTTCTATTTTTTCCCCCCTTTTTTTCCCTCTCTCGCTCCCCGTGCATGTTAATGTTAATGGCGTCGGACTCACAGCACTCGATGGGGTTGGAGGAAGCCTGCAGGGACACTGTCCTGCCGTTGGGCTGGTTGATGTGGACACGAAACACCAGCCTCACGCGAGTGTTTTTGCGTCCGATGTCGGTCTCCCCTTTACGTAGCTCGATGTCTGAATTACGCAGCTTCAGGATTCCGGCACAATCGATTCTAGGGAAGGTGAAAATGAGACGAAGGAGTTAACGAAAACATTTGAAACATGAAACTGTACTGTCTGAGGCTGATTTTTCTTTTTTTTTCTTTTCAATTTACTTTAATCCAGGTCTTTTTAAATAAAGCATCAATTAAGCAGAAATGAAAGTGGATACTTTACAGTTGAACAGTTGAAATAGGGCGAAAGCTGTTTTTCCCTATTGCTGTACATAAAGACCAGCAATGAAGGCCCCACCGGTGTTATAGATCATGCTCTGGAAGCTTGCCGGAGCATGACCGCTTTTATTATTAATCCACCTTGCTATCAAAGAGAAAATTTGACATTAATGGCTTTACGTCTTAAGTTTTAAAAGGTCACAGTGGTCCAGCAATAAGAAGCTCTCCAGAGAACCTTTCTGAAAAGAGCATGCCATGGGTTACCAGCATCATACGAGGTCCCATCAGTACCCAAAAGTCATTCCATTATCCCAATTCATCAAGCCTGTCCTGCTCCTTCACACCATTCACTTCATGCATTCTGAATTTAAACCGCTGTTAATCACTGCCACATGTAGCAACAGACCCTTCTCTAAGCTGTCCGTCTTTATTTATTTCATTTCACAATTTGGGAGGTAAAGGGGTAAAGTTTCTTTTCCTGTTCTAGGTGGAAAAAAACATTCTTTCGCAGGCTTTGGCTTTCATTAATTCAAATAAAAACTTGTGCGGCTGGTAAAATTTGAGTGAAAACAAATGGGATATGGTTTGGCATTTCAGTTATTGTACATGGTAGGTTTTTCGGGCGCTTGTCCTGGAACATGGTAGCTGTCGAGTTTGAAACCAATTTTTCCATAACTCTGGATTTGCACAGTTTGAGTGAAGATAAACCTGAATGAGCAGACCTTCCAGTCAGCACTCTTTATGGTACTTCTATGATCTGGTGCTTTGCCATACAGTAGTTTTAAACAAAGTCAAGGTAGGCGTGACTGAATTAACTGAAATTACTTTTTTAAAGGGCCTGTATAATCTAATATAGGACTATAAATAATCATCAAATTGGTTAGGTTTAGTTAAGGTGAATTAATTCTTCCAGTTAAAAACTAGAGCAGAAAGATGGATGCTGCATTATCAAGACGGCTGTTTAACAGTTCAGTGCAATGGCGTCAGTTTAAGGCTTTTTCTTCATCTCTTCTTGTCAAAAGAGAAAGAGGGAATTTTCACTCCTCTACTGACAAAAAAAGAAGAAAAGAAAGCATTCCCAAGGGGACACATCAAGTTAGTCATGTGATTAATGCCTGTGAATAAGTTACAATATAAAGGATATTGTGGTATTTTTGGAAATGATATTGAAAGGCGATACGAATGTTAAAACCATCCATGTAGTCAGGAACCTCTTATGGCCCATAAATATCTTTATAATACCCATCATTTAAACAAACATTAAAGTACAACTGAAAAAAAATGAGCCGTCTAACCAATTTTTTATTTAATTTTTTTTCTGCAGTATTCTGAGCCTAAAATGTTTGGGGATAAACATGAGCTGAAGTAAGAGGTAATGGCCTTATGTAACGTTCAGATACGCTGGTTTTATCCATAACACAGAGGTCTGGGCCCAAGGCCAACAAAAGTTCACTGCTGCCTAGTCTGCAAGGATCCCCGGGACAGCAGCTACTGCTGGATACACGGCACAGGCAGGTCTCACCGATTATTGCGGGGCAAGAAGATTTATGCACATCTAAAGATAATAAAGCACAATTCTTCTACGTAAGAAATAAATGAGTCAACTTATTTGTAAGTTTAGAACTTAGGCTAAGACACAGGTTATTCTCTGTTGTTGTATGTCTATCAGAAATGCGTTTCCAGTTTGTGCTCATGATCAGAGGGCTTCTACTGACTGGAAATGGCTATTTTGGTGCCGCAGCATTCTATCACCCCCGTTGTTACCTCGGAGCGTATGTTCTGATTCGTTCGTCTTCTCGCTTATATTCTCCAGCACTAACGTAATGGAACTGCATCATACTAATGGACCAGTATGTTGCGATGGGATTCTTCAGCTACAAGCCTTTTAACCTTTTTAGTCCTTATTCGTTCACATTAACTGTGTTGACACAGAGTACTTTACCCCCTTTAGAAATTCTGTATCTCCTGGGGGTGTGAGTACAAAAGCCTAATTAGTATGATGTGCTCTTAGGTACCAACAGTGAGCATTTTTGCCTGTGGAGCTAAAGCTCTGAAGAGGGTATAGAGAGAAAACAGTGCATAAAAGTAGGATTCATTCTAGAAAATCATGGAGAAAAAATAGAAAGTCAACAGATGGAAGTCTTAAAGCACTCACATGGCTCTCATGTTATTCTCAGGGAGCAGAGGGATCTCCAGAATTTTGGTGTTGGATTGCATAACTTCGTGGCTGGCGGTGGAGACAGTTTTGCCGGTGATACGGTGGACCTGGTAGAAGGCATGTGGTCGCAGGAGGCGGTCGTCTGCGGTCCCTATGAACAGCTGCAGGGTGAGTGGCTCACTTTCCATGTAGCCATAAAGCTGGCGGGAGAACAAAGGGACCCAGGTGAGAGCAGCCATCAAGTTTTAAGAACCCCATCTAGCAAAAAATCTTAATTAGAAAGCAAAGGCAAACATAAAATCTATCCATCTAAACAATTTGCTATACCCCTTATTCCCAATAAGCATTTTCAGTCTTTTGAGTACTTCTCTTTGGAGATGATAAAGTTGTTATTCTTATCATAATTTTTTGTGTCCATGATTGTGAGATTAAAGATCTGTTGGCTAGGGGCATGGATGAATACCTAGTCAGAGGATGGCTTCCCCTCCCCTTAACACTCATCGAAACCTCATAACTGCTCAAAAAAGGTTGACATTGAAGCAAAAACTCAGGAGTACATCATCTGAAAGATATTGTCAGGCCCAGATGAGCCTCAAGGTGTGACAGCTCTCAGGTTCTGGATGACCAAGAGAAGGAAATCCAAATGGCGACACTAACAGATCGTTCACGCACAAAATGCTGGAGCCAGAGTCCCGACAGGAGCAGTAAATGAGCCAGTCTTTATATGCGGGTAAAAAATGAGTTGGTAATGTAAATATGAAGGGCGCTGCCGTGCAACATGTTGACACAACACAGTCCCCTTTTGCCCCTGGGCAGTTATGAACATGCATTATGATTTCCATTAAAGCTCAGAGACTGTGTCCCACTGTGATGAAAGAGACTCCTGTATCAGAACCACCACTTCAAACAACTACCACTTCCTCTAGCAGCCTCCATTAGCTGCTACTGCTCAACTAATAAAAAAGATCAAATCTTTAAAAAAAAAAAAAAAGAGGAGGGGGAAGAAAAACTCCATGGCTACGCACAGTTGGAGTAGTGGGAGAAGATGGGCGTTTCAAATATAACCTGTGGCGGTCAATTTAAACTCACTATACCTGGCTGATTTTCTGTCAGTCTGAGGTAGCAAAAGCTCTGTTATTTAAAACTATTATGGTTGATGGGGGCACAGTTACAAATTCTCATAACTAGGAACAAACTGACTTTTGCGAGAGCTGAGGCTTAACATCACGGACCTCCCAGTATATTCTTCTTCTTTGAAGTGCAAAATGGTCACACAGACAGAATGGAGGATGTTGGTGTTGGCTTGGAAATCTCTCCAAAGCTATAAACTGTAAAGAAGCTGCATGATCCATCTGGTACAGAACACCGAAAAACAGTGGAGACAAATCTCTCAACGCGCCGACCTCAATGGATCCACCCAGGTGACTACTTGACCACACGTGACGTTTACTTCGAGAGATCAGTTACTCAAAGCCCGGGGCTCACCAAGCCGTGGCCCTCTGAAAAATCCCACAAATTGGGCTATTACCCCAGCACCCACCAGCGTCTTGCTGCAGACCAATTTTCTTGGAGCTCCATCCGAGTGAAAACAGTGGTAATGTCAAATGGAATAAAAGACCCCAGTTGTTTATCCAAAGCACTGAGTCATATAACAAAATGTGGACCACATGTAACCTATGACATAATCTGATTAATGGGTTTATAATTACCTTTGAGAGGGCAGGAAAGGGATGGGGGTGTGAGGAAGAGCAAAGTTGGTGGAAGGCTGGAAAGTTGTGCCACTTGAGGTTTTCGGAAATTAGTGCTACAGGATCATGGACACCTAATGTCTCTTGTTTGGGAGCGAGTCTGTCTGGATGCTACAATCAAAAGATATCTGCTCTAATAATAATGATGAAACAACCACCGTCTACACTTTGCAATAGATCTTTGGATGTAAAACAAATCAGACAATGCGCTTTTCTTCTCAGAATTTCAAAAGTAATCATCTTGAATAATAACGGGGCCAGAATAAGTGATTCAAGCAGAGTATATATCCATATGCTTCAACAGTCTAAGCATCAGTGGTTATCTGGCTTAGCTCTTCGACTCTGATATGGAGGGAGAGCAAAGGGAGTGGTAAAGCTGAAGCTGTCACTCATTTCCAGTTCCAACCATCATATTTTTTCTCCTTCGGCTCGCCATAGTGTCTCTAGCAGCTGTCTCAACCTCTGAGCTAGTCACACATGCTAGTCATCAGTGAGTTAGGCCGAGGTCAGGAGCTTCTTGAAGTCTTGGCGTCCCCAGGGGCCACTTCATCTCGGCGGTGATCTCACCGGCAGATCCTGCTCCTCTTGTTATATTTTACTTATAGTGTCACCAGAAGTAATTATCCATAGCCACACGTGCTACCAGTTACTCGCGCATTGACTTGTGCGATGGCCATGGCATGGCATGAGGTACAAATCTGAAACACCGGAGCGTTAAATTGCATGACGTTGCCTTTAGGTTTAATGAAACGCAGGCACAGAGCTGTGTCGTCTGTCCCTTTTGGCTTCGCTTCTTTTCTTTTTTTTTGGGTTCCTCTGTGACCTCCAACCATTACCTCAGCCGCCACGTGTCTGGAGACCCACAGGAGAGCAGTATGGCAGTGGGGGCGAGCGGGGATTGGGTGAATCCGTTCATTCGTTCACTGCGGTATCGAGCTATGATGTCGGCGGCTTTGCTCAAAAACCTCATGACCTCATGGCGGAGAGGAAATGATTAATGAGGTCAGGTAGTCCTCTTGGTGATGTTGGTCTACCCAGCAGAAGGAGAAGGCCGTCTAGTCCCTGAGGCGACCTCCCTCAATTTCTTTACCATATGTGCTACCCTGACCCTCTCCATACAATCCTCCCTCTGCTTCTGAGAAACGCCTGTGAAGCTCAATCAAATGCTCGCCACAAGCAGGACGCACAAAATAACTTCTTCATTTCATTTATAAAGGATATAATACGATGAGAGGAGTCAAGATGATTGGGTGAAGAGCAAGGGGCAATAGGAGAAGCTTTACACACACACACACACACACACACACTCATACACCCACACCTGTGACCTCAGCTTTGCTTGGACCAGAGAGCCCTTAATTTCGACCAGATGAGTTTCTTTTGCTGTAACGGCAGCCTTTCTGGCACATGCGCTGTATATTTCTTTTGAGATAATCTAAACCAAGTTTTAAATCGTATCCTGATTCGCAAGCCGTGCCTGGGGTGCCAACTTCTATCCATTTACACCTCTCGCCACAAGCCGCTGTCGCGCGAACCGTCTCTGATGGCTGGAGCAGAAATCAAACACCGCGGGCATAACGGCTAATGTGCTCAGTGTGATTGTAAGCAGATGCATTGTATGGCTCATTTGGGATATTACGGGGGATGCAACATGTCCACTTCAGCAACATTAATGGACAATTCTGCAACTGCAAAATACATACTTTGAACAGCTATAATTCATACCAGCTTTCACCCTTCAGTTTCTTTAGTAATGGTGACATTTTAAGTCTTGCTTGCGTCTGGCCTCAAGAGTTCAAATGAAAGGACTTGAGGATGTTAAGTTTAATAATGACTTAGTGGGAAATTAAATGTGTCTGTCCTGGCCGGGAACTGATTGGGAATACACTCCACAGGCCTGCACTGGTCTGCCTTCTTTCCCCTCCGGAGCGATTTCATCACCGCTTGGAGAAATGTCATGACTCGTAGAGGTCCACGTGGCGCAGAGGATCGAGGGGAAGGATAAGATGACTGGAGACAGAAGAGGAGGGGGTTGGTCTGTGGGGGAAGGCGAGGAGAAATGCAACAGCGGATTCCGGCTTTCCCCCCATTATCACGCTCCTTTCTGTCAAGCGCTGACACGGCTCGCCTTTGCTGTACCCAATTAAACGTACACTCATCCAGGCTGTCTCTCCTTCCAGACTTTACTCCGTCACCCCTCTTGCCCTACTCGCCTCTCCCGTGCCCAATAATGAACGCGCGAGGCAACATATGCAAACCTTTAATCTGATTCGTTTCCATGGCTTCACATGCTGCCTCTTTTATAAGCTACCAAACATCTATAGCCCTCAAAGTTTTTGTTGAAGTGAGTGCTTTTTGAGCGTTATGTCATCGAGGGCAAAGATTCAAGCTGAAGCCTATGTCTAGACCAGTGTGGGTCCAAGTTCCATATAAAAAAAACAAAAAAAATAATATGGCTGCACAGCCCTGCCATGAGAAATATCATCCAAACCTACAGAGAATTCACGCAAGACGATGCTCAGATGACTGCCGTACCCCCTCCATCCCACTATTAACACGAATACCCTCTAGTGTCTCGCCTCATGAATCTGTGGGGCATCTGGTTATCACCTCAAACCAGTGAAAACGACACATCCCTCTCAACTTTTTCCATGTGTTATTAACTGGTAATTAGTGGTAGCCCAATACTACTGTAAGGGAAGCCCTGCAGATGGAGAAGTACAATTTGAGAGTGGCATAAATACCCCTTTGGGCAACAAGTTATAGCCTTGACTAAGCTCTAACAGCACTGCAGGGTAAACCAAGCTTTTCTGAGTATCAAACAGGAGGCGGCAGTGGATTTAATGAGCAATTAGCAGAGAGTTTGCTGTAGATTGGGCTTTCATTTTTCTTTTTTTTCTTTTTTTTTCTTTGAGACGTTACAGAGCCAACGAGCACCGGATCCCAAGGTGAAACCGCACATGAGCGAACGCCAGCACGTGTTGGCTGTGGTCTTTCATGTCCCCGTGGCGGAAACATACAGCAGATTTGCTGTACATTGCATACAAGCGAGAGGGGTATTAAGTCACGCACATTTTTAATAGGGATGAGGGCTGCATCCTGTTGAAATTACAGCACGCCTGTTGCTGCTTTAGACTTAATGAGAGAGTGGGTGTATGTGTGAGGAGGAAAGCCTATAGGCCACTGATGATCCTATATGAGGCAGCCATAAGCAGCACTGCACTGGACTTAACACTCTGCAGGTGCCGTTGTCTGTTGTTACTTTCACATCTGAGCTAGATGATAATCTTATTCTTCTACCTCTTTTTTTCTTACTAGCCTAACTGGGAACATCTTTCAATCTGTATATGATGGTAGTTTAAGTGACAGTAGACTGGTTCCCTTGTTTTTTTTTCGTTTCTAAGTTAAACTCTTAAAATCCCCCTGTAGGGTTCTAGCAGTGGCGGCAAGAAGAAGAAGAGGCGTCTGGAACAGTCTGAAAGGAGCCATCAAAGGATCTTGTGGTCAGTTCCTGTAAATAAAGCGGCAAATGCAGCCACGCGGTCCACAGAGTGCGCCCGTGGAGACAGAAGTGGTTAGAAGGTTGCATATGAAGGACAACGGAGAGATGGATGGATCCACGATGATAACCTACAGCCTGAGAACGGATTAACCGCCTTCTTTGTTTAAGAATAAGGCGACGCAACGATAATTTCGGATTGCCCGCGTGTGGGTTGCGGAATCGCGGTCCTCGCGCTGCTGTTGTTTCACCTGGCGTTGCTTTCCAGCACACATGTCGCCATCACTCACAGCACATGTGTGTCATCATGCATGAGGTAAAAAAAACACGGTCGCCGTGGATGACTGGGCTTCAACCGAGGGAGACCTGGCAGTGGGGAGGGGTCGGTTTAGGAGATGTTTGAAGGATGAGCAGCTCACAGGGAGCGACATCCTTCGGCCCCCCGAGAGAGAGCGGTGGAGGAGGGTTCTTATGATTGGCCTTGGGATTCTGACTCCTATGTATGCCCAGCTCCACACCACCTACTGTGGCTACTCGGGCAACCTGAGGGGGTTACTCAGGTCCTAATCAGCAGGATGCAGAACATCTCTAGGGGGGCCGCCAAGTCAAGTTCCAGCTGCCTGGTGACTCTTTCTGCCCCTTCTCTCCATTTCTCCCTTCATGCTCCAGTCATAAGCAGCTCAAACACACACACACACACACACACACACACCCACACATCCTTAAGCTGCTTCCTACACCCATGCCCCCGTGTCATTACTGACTCATTCTCCTTGACTGCACCTCACCCATCCAGTGCCTGCCACTCATTACCGCAGGGCACTGGGGACCATAGTATGCCCTATCCTCCAGGATAATAACAAAGCCATTCAACACAACACCTCAACAAAAGTAAGGATAGGGAGCAAGGAGTTTCAGAGAGGTTACTTTGGGCGAAAGGTTGAACTCGAAAATTCGGCAAAGACTCCATAAAGACACTAGATTGGTATCTCTTAGCTTGTACACGTGGATGGCTAATCTTAATAGATTTATCTCTCTACCTCTGGTTGGCTTAAAGGGGTTCCCCTTGTTAGAAAAAAGATCCTAACTGACTGCATATGCAGTATCAGAGGCACACAGTAAATGGCTGGAGCTTCATTTCAGACCGGCCAGCACCCACAATAAAACTTGGAAACATAATCAGTCGACAAATCCAATACTGGGCCATGCCGTCTAACTTCAAGCCCTCAAAGACTTAGGAAGTGGTGCAAACCGAATCAAAGCAGGCCTCACCTGCCACAGCTGGGCCTGGCAGGCCCAGTCTGGTCAGCCTCTGTCTGTAGCCCGGGGAGGAGCACGGCTGAAATGTTGATTCATGCTTGTTGATATACAAAGGTTTTTAATGAAGGGGGGATAATTACCTGTATTTACAGAGAAAACCTGCAGGTTGACAGGCGTGTTTATAACACTGCCTTCGCCAACAGCTGTCAACTGCGTTTGACAGAGAGGGGGGCCCGGATGTGCTGACAGCATCTATTTACAAAGGCGCGATGCTGCTAACACAGTGCAAAAGCGTTTGACGTGGACGGACCACCAACCTTAAACCCGCTCGAGCGCAATAAATGTTTTTGGAATGTGCAAAAGCTTTGCTATGGCTACATGAGGAATGCTGCATATGCCACTTGAAATGTTCAAATCAACCCTTCAGCGAGGCCGTTTTACCGAGAAGCGATCTGTAACAATTAGCAGGATGAAATAAAGCTTTTGTGAATGAAGCTTGTGAATGTCAAATTTACCCTCAGCTTTGAGAACATGCACACAAACCACCAAATCCCCACCTTGTGCAAACGGAGTTGTCAGTGGAGTGTGATGACAGCAGAGCAGAGAAAGGACCTCTGTGCTGTGCCGCTGGTGTGACTGACGTTTGCTCTTTAAGAGCTCGCCAAGTACAATACTGAGAGGCGATGGTCCTCCTTCTTTACTGATTGAGTCAGCGTGCTCTGCTGCTGGTCAGAGCGACCTTTAACGGCAGCATGGTACACTGACTCTCAGCTCTGAAAAACATTAGCAACGGAGCAAACGAGGATATTCTCCAAAACAAAAGTGTGGAGTGTGTAAATGCAGTGCTGCTGTCGAGTGCAAAAAGACAGGCGGCCGTCAGTAAAAGCCAATTAACTAGGCCAACAAGTTGGCAAGAGAATGCATCGCACGTTTAATGTCAATACGGTAGTCGTTGCATGGCTTTTGTATGCTTTCGAAATGGTCTCCAATATCAAAATACCAGAAATAGGTGTCCTAAATTTTTGTGAGCAGTTTGTATTTTTGAGCAAGTTGTATTCAATCAGTCAAAACTCCAAAGCATTTTTTGTTCTTTATGGAAAAAATTTGAAAAAAAAAGAAGAGCAACAACGCATTAAAATTCAGACTAATGAAGGAAATGACGAGGCTGCTCAGATTTTCCTTTTGTGACTACGTGCCGTCGCAGACAGCGTGAGCCAAACCCTCAAGTCACTGGCTCGCTGTCGCTCAAAGGCGAGCGCTTGTTTCCACTAACGCTGCAATGAAAGTGAGTTATTTCACAATTTAGAAACGCGGGGGGGCTAAATCTTATCACCGGTAACTTCAAATGTGCACAGGGTCTAAAGGGACATACCTGAACCACGGGGTGTCCTCCGGACAGCGCCTTCACGGCTCCTCGGCTGCCCTCTGTCTCGTAGTGGGCCCTGTGGTGGGACTTAGGCTGCACCTCGATTTGTAGGTTGTACGGGCCGGAGCAGGACGGCAGCTGCCAGTCAAGCGCTGGCAGAGAGGGGCTGCAATAACACGAGACATTGATCGTCACTGGCTAAAAGTCACATTACACGCTACTTCTGCTTTTCAGCAGAAGTGAATTATTTTTTCATTCTGTCAGTCCCTTTGACGTTGTGTGCCAAAAAGCCCCGATCTGCTTGATGTTACTTTAAAAAAAAAAAAAATCAGTTTATTTGAAACAAAACCACCGAGACACAAGAAGAATGACCCTTAACGTTTTGTTTTCCACATTCTAGTTTATTTGATTTGCAGAAGAGAGACCCGTGAGGCTCCATTTCCACTGGGATTTGGTCTCTATTGGAGAAATCTGAACCCAAAGCTCTAAACGTGCTTTAAATGAGCCTCAATTTTGGACACTTTCGTGCAATCCAACTGGCTTCCACCCATTTCATCACGGCCCATAATCTAATCAACTTGAAGCCATTCACTGACATGTGTAATTCTTTAGGACTGGGTGACAATTAGTGGCCCTTTGTACAAGGAATAAATGAGAGACAAATGTGCCCTGGTTTCTTAAATGTCTGTTTTGCATTATGGTGTGACAGGTGGAAACAGCCATGATGAGTTATGAGAAAGTGAAAGTCGGAGGAAAGACACTTTGATGGCACAAGACTAAATCTCGCACTAAGTGGCATTCAAGCCGTCTTTTGATGCAATTATTCTCCATTTCAAATGGATTGCTCTCATAGTCTCAAGAACAGCGGCAGTAGACCGACAGACAATGGACTAAGGAGCACACCCTGCCTTGGAGCGTGATATCTCTTTCTCAGAGCTACAGCTGGCTTCCTTCAATATCATTGTTCTCCAGATGGAGAGTCACAGATTCCCATGTGAACACCGTGGAGATATCTAAACCAAAACAAACATGTGCAAGACAATATTTCTCTGTGCCGGATGCCTGGTGAACGCAGGCCCCTCTGACCTGAAGGGTGGCTCGACTGAAACCAATCTCTGGCATCTTTGTGGAACTCGCAGGCTGTTTGTTGACCCAAAACGAACCGATTTCCCCCCGCAGGGCTTTATCTGCTCAGTCAGTGCATGACATCACGTTAGCCCCGCGGAGAAAAAGATGGGCCGATGGCGCGACAGACCAGCGCGGCTAGCCGGCTGATTAGCTCACAGACTGCTTCCCCTTCGGCCAGGCCTGTCACCATTGCTTCCTGTTGCTCACTATCTTAATCAAACACTTGATTTCCGACAGGAAAGTGTGTTATTGGCTTGGGAAAAAAAATGCTATGAGGGAAACAAAAGAACGTAAAAAAATAGGCCTACCTTGCTCAAAAGACAAAAAAAAAATCAAGTGTGTGGATATGCATTGTGGTGTTTGTGTGCGGATCGCCATAGCAACAGCAGCGTACACACACGTACACACACAAATGCGGAGAAACTCCCCCATGTGAAATATGATTTATGAAATAGTTTTGATCTTCAAAGAGAGGTTGTTTGGAAGTGCGTGTCACTTTGGTTCCCTGCCTTTTGATATGGCCTTTGAAGATTAAAAACTGCAACAATCTTATCCTCCCAGAAAATTTGTAGGAATGAAAAAATGGACACAAGAAGCCCAACACCGAGGTAGCGATGTTACGGGATCAGATACAAAGCTCTACAGAAAGTAACACTCCCAGTAAAGAAAGCACCTAATTGTACCTTTAGGGGTCCAAAGACTTGTTACTGTGGGGGTACCCTTAAAGAGTCCTGCTGTTCTACTCCTGTAGTTTGCCTATTTACTACTTGGGAACATATGTATATGTTTCAGGGCCCTCTAAAAGTACAAATATGTGCCTTGGGGTCCAGTTATTAAACATATGGGCTACACATATCGAGGACATACCTCAGGAGACATGAATGTTCTCCTATTGTGCCCATATTTTTGACAGTGAGTAGAATTTCAAATTATGTTTGAAGAACTATGTGTGTGAGTGTGTGTCCCTGCTTTCTAAATGCAATTTTAAAAGAATGTTTGATTTTGTCTTAAGTAGGGCAGTAATCCACTTAAAAACCACGACTTCTTTACAGGGAAAAGGTTCATAGATGTTGTCATCTACAGTATATCAAATTTAAAAAAAGAAAAGGATCAGATCCTTTTTACGTCTGTTGCATTCTTTGTTTAAAGTCAACCTTTGTCGTTGTGCCTTTTTGGAGCTTAGCTGCCTCTGAGAAACCTATGGAGAATTACTCCTACTGTAAACAGTGGCAAAGGGTGTGGGCTGGGAGAGAAAGCAGACAGTGAATCAAACCACTGTAAGGATTGGGAGGACAAATCGTTCAATACTAAAAAGAAAAGCAAAAAAATAAACACCTTAGTTATTACATTATCATGCTGAAAAATGTCCTCTTTAAGGAGCAAGTATCTTTTTACAGTGGAGGGCAGGTTTACCCCTTACGATCTATATGTATGCATCGGATACAGTGGTGGTTTAACATACCTGAGGTAAGACTTGGGCTTAGACCAGGAGTATGGATGCTGAGGCACATCCAGGAACCCTCCACAGTAGTTCTCCTTCTTGAAAGCTAGGCGGGATTGATAGTCCTCGTGGCAGAGGTCCCCATCAGGACCCAACTCCTCTCCACTGGGTTCTACCTTCAAGCTCATGGAGGGGGAGAGGTCCAGCATGGTTTTCCGTGTCTTGATCGGGATTCCCTCCCCCATGTCCACCACTCCGTCTGTGGTGAGGGCATTGATGGCGGCCACGATGGCGGAGTTGGTATACTGGTTGGTGTTGGCGAGCCAGCTCTCATCTGTGACGCTGACCCTAGGGGAGCCGTGTGGAGACGGGGTTGGGGAATGGTTGGGTGAGCAGGGGGTTTGACGGTAGGAGGACCCGCTGAGGCTGTACTTTCTCTTCCCCATGCCTCCGCTGTTGCTCCCGCCGCCTCCGCTGCAGGAGGGGGAGTTCGGCCTGGAGACGCGAGGCTGTGCCGGCCAGCCCTCCTCGGCCACGGCGCCTATCTGAGGGGAGGTGGACGGTGAGGTGTGAGGGGAGCCCGCGGGACCCACGGCGTGTGGGCAGGACAGAAGGGAGGACGACCCTCGGGGGGACACGCAAGGAGACTGCCAGGGGGAGTTCTGCGGAGAATTGTCGTAGTTGTAGAAACCCGACTCGTACGACGAGGCCTCGGAGTTACAGCTGCGTGAGGAGATGCTACTGGCGGGGCTGAGGCAGCTGGGGTCACGGTAGCCGTCGGCATTGGGAAGCGTCAGGGTGACGATGGAGTTGACGCCCCGTCTGATGATGTGGTCCTCGCTGTTGCTCTCTTCAACCTCGTCCTCGGGGTACTGGCTGTAGGCAGTGATCTCGATACGAGGGCTCTCGAGGGCCGGAGCCCCATTGGGCCTCAAGCCGTGAGGCAGGTAGTAGCCGGATGACCCGTGGTTGTCGTTTTGCAGGTTGTAGGCCGTCTGGTGGCAGGAAGTGACTGAAATGACGGGGCTGGACTGTAAGGTGTGGTACTGCGTTGCCAGACAGGGGTTACCCATACCCAGTGGAAGAGCCAGGCTGACATTTGGTGTGTAGTTGTATGCATCTGAAAAAAGAGAAAACAACATATAATCTATTAAAATAAAGCTATTTCAACTATTCTAGCGGTGTGAAAAGAAATAAGCCACCCGTCCTAAATCAATGTACCTTCCAGGTAACTAGCCTTTAATGGATTCTTTTCATAGGCACACGAACAACAGTTGTTCAGGCTTTTAGACGGTCTTTCATAGCTTTTCTTTGGACACTTGCAATATTTATAGCAGATCAACAGCAGTACAAGGAGCTATTAGCACAAGAAGTGGTAAATCTTTGGATGCTTTTCGACATGTACTTGAAATTTTAAGTAAGGGCAAAAAAAAAACTGTCACAGGACGTGCGAGAGGCATCAGGCCCTTCAGTTGATCAATGCACTGTTTCCTGAAGACGCATTATAAGTGGTGTGCTGAATGGCTGCTGTCAAGAGGCCATTCTCATGACAGGGGAGCAGGGAAAAAACTGACATGCGCTGAATTACACAAGAACTGGATGGAAATCCAGCGGTAACAGGTTTTACAGAGTAATGAATCCTCCTCAGTGCCCAGACCTGAACATTGAGCGGAGGCGGATTATCTTGGCAGACAGCAAAACAATAAGCTAAGCAAAATACCACTTGAAATTATTACGAAGAAAGCTTGTCTAAGAGGTTTAACCAAATATTTGACTTAGATTTACACAAACTCTTTCGTATTATTTACAGTATTTCCTACTCTTTTTGCACATGTTTGAACTATTTGCTGCCCCTTTACTTTGTTTTCTTTTTCATTTTCAGGACAATATTTAAAGAAATTAGGGGGTGGCTCGCCCCTTAGTACTGCGTATTCAACACTAATTGGCTCCAAAAAAACATTTTCTCTTGTACAAAGGTCTAGCAGATTTACACAGATGGCAGCTACACCTCCAGTTGTATAAACCCTCGTGTGTCTTTCTGTGAAGTAGCAAGCTGCACGGCAGCGCTTGTCCAATCGGTTCATCGACAGGTCTATTTGGCACACCCTGCTGTCATACGGTGTAGGAATTCCTGCAGCAGCGCTGATGGACGCTTCATTTGATTGATTGCATCACTCGCTGAGCGAATTAGGCCTTCCCCTGTGAAAAACCAACAGCACTCTCGCATCGTTCCGAGCTTTGTGATTAAGTCTGGGAGAGTTTGCAGCAGAGTTACACACAGATGCACCCGCGTGGACAAAGACACAGGGTGACTGACCAGAACAATCTCAGTCAGAGGATTGCATGTTTACCCCTGCCTCTTCAGATAGACCTGCAGTGGTTTTGTCAACTTCAAATCTCACATCGGATTTTTTTTTTTTTTTCTCATTAATGATGTCAATGAGGGTGAGAGCAGTCAGAGAGGATATCATTCAGTTTGAAACCCCTGAAAGGGCATTCCCCTCGACGCAGTGTGCTATATTTGTAAACCACAACGCCGTGCATCACATGAAATGACAACGCTGTCACATGCTACATAATATGTGGGCAGGCGATTTAAAACCGGTTCACGCAAGGCTGCTTTAAGGGGTGATTCTTTCTGTGGAGCAAACATTGCAAGCCTAAAAGCCACGGCCTCAAATCTGCTTTCACACTGTGAAACAAATCCCCCAAACAGCACGCTTTAGAAAGTTTTTCTGCACAGGTTTCTCTCTGGTTTACAGGAAGCCGAATGCAAGACCTCTTTGCAGCCAACGGCTCCAAATATGCCATTTAGGTACGATGACAGGATAAAGAAAAGAAATCCACCACCACCTCTCAGGACCCACCTTTCTCTGCCTCGCTCCGGTCACACCCGCTGTCCTCAAACACATATCTGAAATCAAACTCTTGTCCCTGGTGCTGGAAACTCATATCTGCCCCAGTCACCGAGCAAATCCGTGCAACAGCTCAGGTCAGTCCTCCTCTCTGATGCTTTTTCTCCTCTTGCTTTAAACAGATGGCAATCTCCTGCCCACTCCACCCATTGGGACACACCTCCCTAGAAGTCAGGCCTGACTGCCTTTTGCTGAGAGTGGCAGCTGATGTTTTTCTGTACCCGGTTGAAGGTGTTTGTGATCAGCGCACTGTGCCGCTACATACTTGACTTCTTCTAACACCCACTCATCACACAGAGGCTTTCACTCACGCCTGCTGCAGGATCTTGAAACTCTGGGTCTTCCGGGTCCCACGCGTCACATCTGCTGAACTCACAAAATCACAGGCCCACTATTTGTGTGGTTACATGACTAAAAAGGGACGCATGAGCAGTTGCAGTTGTTTGCCCAAAAGCGTGGCGTAAGCAGAGCTCATTTGAGAACGCCGACCATCGCAGAGATTATAGCGTGCTCTCGCTGTCCCCCCACCGCTTTGCTCAATTATACTATCACGATCAAAACAGTCCCCCTACCCACAACCAAACCGGCGAGGCTGAAGAATGGAGGGGTTTTATCTGCGCAGTTTGCGGTCTGGGCTGGGCTCAGACTGACGGGACCTCAGCGAGAGATTTGTGGTCACACACAGAAGTCATCCGAAGCCCCGGGAGCTAAGAACCAGTGGGGGAGCCGAGAGCCCACTTCACGTGCACTACAGCGCTGAGTCGGGGCTCTGGCTGGATCTACGTGTGTCTGCCTGCTCGCATTTGCTTGTCTGGGCATCTAAGTTTGTAAGATAGTATCCCAGGCTCTGGCACGCCGCTGAATCCTCATCAAGTAAACTAGTCTGCATCCCAGAACAGATCAAACACACACACACACACACACACATACACAAAAGTCTGCTACCAATTATAAGGCTTAGTGCTGAGGGACTGAAATGAATAATAGTACAGTCTGCACCCGTCGGTCTCAAACCTCAAAGGCAAAATGAAATTCCCAAAATCCACAAAAAGCCAGTGGCATCAGCACTTTGAATAAAGAGAAGGCAGACGACCACTGACTCTAGCTAACCAATTCTAGAGCTTAAAAAAAACACTTTAAAACATTTTCTTCATAAAGCAGCAAATACCAAAGCTGAAACTTCTTTTTAAAATATGAAATGGCTCAAAATTTCAAACAACTTTGCCTCCCTGAATCTCAGTTTTTTTGTGTAATCTGACAAAAATCTTTTTTTCCATTAAATAAAAAGGCTCCATTCAACACCATAAGAGAGGTGTGTGAGGGCAGCAAGTCCTAACCCCATAATTTTTTTATTGCGCATGATAAGAGGCACCTGCAAAGACAGCTGGAGACACCTAACGGTGTGGACGCGCATGCCGATCACTCGTTTGCTCATTTTGCTGCTTTTTCGGAGCTCCAGTGAGACATCATATGTAAAAAAAAAAACTAAAAAAAAACTGGCATAGCCTACAATGAAATACTCATTTGTTTGTTTAACTTGAAAACTGCAGCGTGGGCTATTTGAACCCATGGTCTGAAATCTTGAACCTCACACTGCTCGTCTCCCATCAGTTTGCATTGGTTGCCTCAACATTTTCATTTTATTATCAAGAACACTTAAAACGCGCAACAGTTGAAACAAAACGACAAGCTTTACCTTCTTCAGCAGACTTCATATCGGCGACGTGAGAGGTGAGAAGGTGAAGTCCCCGCTCCTTACGGGCTGCCGCGGCTCCAAAGCTGAACTTGGATTTGACGCTCGGCCGGAAGGTATCCTGCATTCAACAAGCGATGCGCAACTTTCCCCGACTGCGATTCTGCCGCGCGCAGAGCACGTCGCGGATTATTTAGTTTATTCGCAGCAAAACGAGCCGACTTCATGCACCATTAATGTCAAACCGCACAGAGTGTGTGTTTGTTTGTTTCGGGGTAAAAGCCACTTTGAGCTGCGGATCTAAAACGCAACTGTGCGCACCAAATGAAAACGGGATACAAATAATAATTAAAAAAATGGATCGGAGGGGGGGAAATGGGGTGGGTGGGGGGGCCAAGTCTGCTGCGTTGACCGAGGTTGAGGTGAGTTTGACTTGCGGCCGGCACGGAGTGGAGGTTTTTAAAAAGTCTCCCCAGGTCGATGACGCGGCTTTTAAATGTGGAAAACACCCTCCGTCCTCCTGTCCGCGCGCGCGCCGCCCATCCAGGGATGACGCGACCTGCCTCCACAGCCTCCCCGGCTGATGATGTCGTCCAACCTGGGATCCCTTTTTGGAGGAGGTAACGGAGGAGAGGAGGGGGGCGGGTGGGGTTGGTGGGTGCCTTGGATGCGTTTGCGCGTGCGCACTTGTGCATGAGCGTGTGCGCAAGAGAGAGAGATAGAGATAGAGAACGAGAGTAAAAGAGGGGAGAGAATTCACCAAAGTTCGTGCCAAACCAGTAATCTCTTGCTTGTGTTTTTCATAACACTCGCAATATGCAAAAGCCACTGCCTGGGCTTTTATTTGTTCTTTTGTTTCCTGTCATATTTGCATTTCTAAAATATTAGTCACACCCTACATAAATAAATTATTCCGGTCTCTCCCCCTTCTCTGGGTCTCCCCACACTGAGTGTGGTTTTCGGTGTGGTGGATGGAGGATGGACACGTTGCCGTTCATTCACTAATAACGACCTTCCACGTAAACACCGGCAGTCGTGTTATTATAAGATCATCAGCATTATTCAGACGCTCAACCCCAATCCCCGACTGAAAACTTCCAAAGCTATCAAATTCCATCTTCGAAACTCATTTTCCTTGCGTTAGACGGAAATATGGTCTCGCATTTTTCGCCCCAAAAATAACCATCCGCAACCACGGACAGCGCAAACAGCTCGTGTTCTTCATCTCTGCTTTCCACCAGGCGGTATCAGCTCACTCCCCTGGTGAATCCCAGGCAGTGCCTTGCGATTTGCCTTTGTTTTAGGAAAATTCCGGGTCAGCTTATTTCCTTTATTGCACTCCCATTGCCATTTATCAGGGTAATACGCCTCATTTTATGATTTTACTGTTACGGTGTGGCATAAGAAAATCGATGTAGCCCACCATTATCGACACAGAGATATTGCTTTGATATTTGCTTTAGAACTAAACTGAAACTCAGCCTTAATCTGCTTCAACTCTTAAAACTTTAAGCTTGCAATTATGCATGAGAGGAAGTGTGCCAAACTGAATTATTAGGGCCAAAGGACAAGAAATAGAAATGACCCTCTTGAAACACGGTCAAACTTTTGAAATATCAAGTTGTAAAGCTTGAAAAAAAAAAAGCCATGTGTTTCAGGGATATTGGCCTACACGCTTTTCCTCTGGTGTTTTGTCTTGTGTTTAGAAAAGGACAAACCCAATTGACTTCTGGTGTGGACCTGGGATGAGACACGCAGGGTTTGCAGAATCTGATTTCGCATTTATAAACAGTACGTGTCAGGTCTCCCATCTTGGCATCGTGTTTTAGTTACGCCGTGCGGGCTGTCTGGCCTCATGTTTCTGGGGTCGTGGCAGGAATCCTCAGACATACTGCTGATGGCTGATTTTTGCTCAAGATACGTCGTGTTGGCGGCCGGACATAAAAAAAAAAAAAAGCCAAATGCCTAATTTCGTGGCGAATGGGAACCCAAAAGTACAGCTTCACGGGGACTTTTGAAGAAAAAAGGGCTCTAAGAAATGCCCTAAAACGTGTGTGCAGTTGATTAAAAATAAAGTCTTGTGAGTTATGGAGTGTTGGGAGCATGCGTGCAATTAAGAACGGCTTTGACAAGCTGCAATGTCGTTTCTTTGAGTGAGGTCCAGGTTTCGAGAAAAAGAAAAAAAAAAGAGGGGGAAAGAGAGAGACTCCCTTGAGCCTGAAATGTAGCTGGCAAGCTTGGGGATGATCACACATAATCAGAAGCAGACTCCCTTTTTTTTTTTTTTTTTTTTGAGGCAGGCTGGCTGTTTTGGGCAAGCAGACTGCGCCGGGGAAAAGTAATGGTACTCTGTGTTTTCTTTGCCTACAGTAGCTTTCTGGCGTCAGCTGCGGCTTGGCCGGAGAGCATGTGTGAGCTCAGAGATGAAAAAGCGGGATCACATACTTTAGGAGATGAATTATGATACAAACTGGCGGTGGGAGGGAAAAAAAAACAAAAAAAAACAGGAGCTCCGCAACTGATTGGCACTGTCAGCGGGACGGAGCTCTACAAGTTGCTGAACAAGTCTCAAAGCCTGCGGTATGGGGCACAGCTCAGTGGCAGCCTGTAGGCTTATCTTGATGGATTCTGTGATGCTGATAAAAGTGCCATTAGCTGCAGTCTGTCAGCAGCAGTCCGGGCACTTCAAACCAACGGAGATACCAACCTCCAGGTATTAAGTACACAATAAATCATTTCAAAAGATAAACGTCACCAATGTGATGGTCTAATGATTCTCCTGAGGAACCCCTACCTCCTTGTGGGGATCATTTAATGAGTTAAAGTTAAATGAAGTCTTCTTTATCTAGTGAGATTTGGGTCCAGTTTTAAAGTCCCTCCCAAATACCTGAATAAACCACTCACTGATGGATAATCAGTGTTAGAATATATATTTCTCCTAACGCTGCCACATAGTGGATTTGCTGCGTGGAGCTCAGATTTATGTTAAATCAAATCCGCCGCATGAAATCTGTCACGCCTCGGTGTCATCGTGTCATTTTCTTTGGCCGCAGCCATGATGAAGTTTGCTCAATATCGCGCAGCAGCTTGGAACGAATCACCAAGCGGAGTTTCTAAACAGATTGTTACGACAAGCCTGGAAGGATTTGCTTTTTTGCTTTACATCTTCTCTGGAAGTGTAAGATTGTAATTTATGGCGCGGCTACATCTGGCCCTGCGACACCGCACGCACCGAGCAGCCACAACACGTCTGCTGAGAGCATTAGCCCAGCAGTACGTCTTGTGCTCAGATTTATGACCCGGCCCATTTCCCCGCTCCTGTGTTTCACTCAAAAGCATCTTTTCTTGCCTTGGTGTAAACAGATGCTCGCTCCTTTTTTTTTTTCCGATTCGCTCTAATTGAGTTGTTGTGCTCATCGCATCCAAGGCCAATAGTGGTGACAAACTAACATATTTTTTGGTGGTTTTGTTCTGGCTTTCACTGCCTTTTGCGTGGCCCATCAGTCGATGCCAAATTTGCTGATATATAATAAAAGCAAGAGGGAGTTTCGCAGCACAAATTCTGTGCTTGATGCTGGCAAATAGAATATTTACTACCAGTGGTTTGGCCCAGGAGTGAGTCCTCATCTTGGCAAGGTCAGAACGCGTTTCTCAGAACTCTCCATGAGAGATTTGAACATACAAGATGGACCCAAAAATTGGCAGGTACGAAAAATCCCATCAAAGATTTGCCAAGCCGCGGGCTTAGTCCTGTCATATTTGTTTGTCTAGACATCGGGGGTTGCAACCACTCTGCGGGGAGACTGGTTTGAGGCAGATATTAACGTGGGCATTGAGGAGATGTGCAAACCCAAGATTCTCTGGGAGAATCTTCGAAACGCGTAAACTTTCAAGGCTGCAAACCCAGGCCCTTCGCTCCAAGCTGCGCAGTCCATCATCTTGCTTTAACAACGTATAATTCATGTTCGACATATCCGGGGAAATCTGCACACCGACATCCAAAGCTCCGCCACACTATCATTAAGTATTTTCTTAGATTCTCTTTGAGCCGTGACTTGAATCGGGCCTGCTTTTAATAGCTGCAAACACTCAGTTTTGAGGACGGTGTCGAGTCAGCTTTTTTTCTTTCTTGTTTTTTTTTTCTTCTCCTACAGACGATGAGGAGTTTAAATGAAGAAGTGCACGCTGAGTGACTGCAAGTTATGAATGGCTGCGGTTTAAGTCCATCCTTTGGCATGAGTACGGCTTGTGGACGCTTCCCCTCCTCTTCTTCTCCTTTGCCAGTGTACACAATTCCCGAGCTCACAATGGAGAACTGCGCGGAGCTATCTTAGGCATGTCTGGACACCGCTGTATGTTTAGCAACCGGCTTTTTTCAGAGATTCCTCTTATGGACAGGAAGTAGCGTACATGTCTGGCTTGTGAACCGAAGAAGCGGGGGCCGTCATCGTCACACGGTCATTGACTAAGTTTGTGTTGGTAGAAAATCAGGAAGAAGCAGCGTGAAGCTCGGAGTTTTGTCACTGTTGTTTACATGGTACGCTGGAAATAAGATGGAAAGACACTCTGGGACCACTGTAGCTGTGGTATCCTGCATCAGACTTTTTCTTTGTTTTGAATTCAAGAGGGTCATAGGATTATTAAAAAATATGGTGGAAAATATTATATAATTTAGTGAAGAAGAAAAATAGCAAAGAAAGGAGCAACACTGGGTGTCAACAAAACAGTAGAAGAATGTTATTGCCCTCCATTGTTTGCTATTGTCTTGATTAAATACATCTCCGAAGGGTTGAAAGATCTTAGCAGTGATTGTTTTTCTTGCTAATGATCCATTACCGCCTTCTGTTGGTGCTGCAGCTTTCTCTCAGACTGCTTTTGCCGACCGTGTGAGGTGTGATAAGAGCTCCGCCTCGGGTACTGTATCTTACCCACATGTGTAGAAAATTCAAAACCGGTGGCCAATAACAATTTCTATAGGTCAAAGGCCCACGACCTATGAGAGAATTTTCCTACCCCACTTGTAACACAGATAATTACACAGGCAAGGCATCTGATGAGGGCCATATTGTGAGTTTAAAGCAAAAAAAAAAGTGTGATGTAAGCACTCCCTTTTTATTGACCAAAATG